AAATCCAAATAAAAATTGTCCGAAGTGATCGTAATGAATATCAAAAACTGACTGACTCACTGTCTAAAATCGCTCCTATATTTATACATAAAACCCATTGCTCGCGAGGAGCAATGCAATGTAAACAAAAACCCATTGCTCGCGAGGAGCAATGTTCTATAAACAAATCATCGTTACATAATAATTCGCTACAAACTCTTTTTAGAAAGTCAGAAATTATCAAATATCTTGATAAGAAATGACAATGACATTTAAACACTGTAACAACGATAAATATTTAGTTTAGAGCAATCAAAAAAATATATTTTACTTATGATTTCCTACATGTTATCAATGAAGAATTATTTTACTGAACTATTACAAAAATAACTTCTCCTTTCGCCATGTGCACTATCTAACACAACCAGAAAAAGATCGGCCGCTGCTGCTACCAGGGACCTATATACTAACTACTATACTTAGTAATATAGGTCCCTGCTGCTACCGATAATAATGGGTCTTTACGTTTACCATATGGGGCCTCCATACCCGTAACCATGCAGACAGAAATGATCTTTTTCGTGTTTAATTCAATTAACCCTTTTCAATGCGAGTTGACAGTTGTAACAAGCATCAATTTATGCACATTAATGGGGAATAAGTGATATTCAAACAGGCTTAAATTCCCCACAATCATCGGTTGTTATGCTAAAAATGCAACTTCCGTTAAAAAAAGAGTGCTCGCATTATTAAACGCAACGGTAGAAAATTTTTTAAAATTCAAAACATGCAAACATGACAATTTTTGTTCAGTTTAATACCCACCACGACTTGCGGTTCAAACACCTTGCATGATATCGGATGAAATTGGGGCTATCCACGGCAGGAAATATAGCGTAATTTCACTATAATAGTGAAATACCACTATTATAGCGGAATTTACGTTTCCCCCCAACCTGCTCATGGTTAAAAATGGTTTTAAAATACATGAAATGCATAGTTCTAAAATACGGAAGCCCGTTGGTGCAACGTTGAAAAAATATTTTATCTGGCGGCCGCCACATAATTTTCTGGCGGTCGCCAAATATTCATCTGGCGTTCGCTATATACATGTGTAATGATTTTGTTTATGTATGTAAATATGCTACAATTGCTAATAAAATAGGAATATTATTTTGTTTATTTGATAAGCCCTAACCATGGTACCTGATTAGCACCCTTATCTTGGAAGTCTTATTAGTGTCCTAATTAATATGGCGCTTATCAGATGCTAAATGTATCAAGTGTCTTGACACCTAACAATGGTGCAGAGGTCCTAATACTTGGAGCCGTTTGCCCTAATAGGTGCCCTAATGATGGAGCCGATTGCCCTAACAGGGTGCCCTAATGATGGAGCCTAACGCCCTAACAGGTGCCCTAACGATGGAGCCTAACGCCCTAACTAGGTGCCCTAAATCACATTAGGTGTCAGACAGGGTATATAAGGAGAAAGAGCTAGTGAGTTGATTACTTTGCTTGTACTGGATTGTAAACTACGTTTGGATATTATTAATACACTTGTTGAAACAAACTTTGTCGTTGTTCTGATGATAGATCTATAAAGATCTAAAAGTTCCTATCTTCTACACGGGATCCACAATATTTTGTGACGTGGGTAGAAACAAACACCCCATATAGAGAAAAACGTTACACATGTAATATATGGCGGCCGCCATATATTTTTCTGGCAGCTGCTAGATAGTTATCTGGCGGCCGCTACATAATATTTGGCGCCACAGATAATTCTTAGCATCCTGATGCGCGCGCATGTTTTAACGCGAGATATCAGCAAGAGGTGGATTAGCCTGGTTCCCGAGGCCTTCCGATTGTGCAAGCACACAATCGGAAGGCCTCAGGAACCAGGCTAGAGGTGGATACACCCAAGCACGCTGTATACATGCATACAACCAGATCCACGAAGTTGTGTGTAAATAAAAATAGCGACATCAATGCTATCAGTGTAAGTTTTGCGACGAAAAAGATTTTGTCGACATAACACTATTTTTAGAGTTCTTAAACTACAGTGTAATAATAATTCGATGATTTACTGCCAGAGAACACACAATTTCTTTTTAGGTAAATTAAACCCCATGTATGAAAATATAAAGCAGCGGATGTGTCAACATCCATCTTCTTAACCCAATAAAGATACAAGAACACTTACTTTTTGCAAAATAATTTATGTGGCGACCGCAAGATAAATTTGACGTTTTTCATTCTAGTTGTTAGACAATTATTTATAATGAATTTTAGACGGATTTTTCCGTTATTCTATAGCAACATACAAGATATGAAATTATACAGGGAATAATAACATCAAATCTGTTCTGAATTAGCACCTTTTGGTAACAATTAAGTATTTTCTATGATCGACAAAATGACCTTGTAAGGAAATATAATTCATCATTAACTCACACGCCCATTGACATTTTTCAATCTGATTCTTAGAGAATTATTAACATTGAATTGTAGACAGATTTTTCCGTTACTTTCCGGTCATGACTTGGAGCACACGGTCGTTGTGATTGGTTGGCATGGGATGCTTACCCCTCAATGACATTTGATCCCACCTCTAATGTTTGTTCTGCTTCGGATTTGTATTGTTAAATGGACTATTGATCTAGAAATCTATTATCAATATCAACAGCTTCAAAACTTAGGACTTTTCAACTTTATACAAAACCATTCCCCACGATAAATAAAAGTCCAGGCTTTTTGATATCACTGACAGCTGCTTTTTTAAATAAAAATTGAACTCGTAAATTTACGTATATGGTCATTGGTCATTTGCAAAATTATTTTGTTAAAACACATTCTGATTACACACACAAGTACTCTGAAGTTGACATCAAAGAGATGCTAGAGTTTCTGATTGACAATATATGTTTTTTTGAGACCAGATATTCCAACAATCTATTTGAATTTCCATGGGTACAAATTGCGCCCCGTTATTAGCAGACTTATTTTTATATTTTTATATATGAAGCAGAATTTGTATAAAATCCTATGCGAATCCTCGAAGAAGAAAACATGTGGCCTTCAACTCGACATTTAGATATATCAACGACGTATTGTCAATTAACAATCATTATGGTAACTTCCATTCCGATACGATATATCCTAGTGAGATTGAGATTAAAGATACCACAGAGTCTGACACAGCTGTTTCATACTTGTATATTTTACTTGAAAAAACGTCAATGGAAATCTAACAACCAGCCTCTATGATAACGTGATTACTTTAACTTTTCTATCGTCAACGTCCCTAAGGCTTACTTATGCAGCAATATACCTTCATCACCTGCATACGGAGTATATATATCTCAGTTGATTCGATACGCAAGAGCATGCTCTACGTATGAACAAGTTCTAAAAACGAGTTAATTATTGACAAGCAAGTTGATGAAACAAGAATATCAGCAGACTCGTAGTCATCATTTCGTAAGTTCTATACAATGACCTTGTTAGCAAATACAATTTATCATTGAGTCAAATGCTGACTAATATTTTTCATATTAATTGTTAGTCCATTATTTATACACTGATTTGACAACGTATTTTTCCGTTATTACGAGATCATATGAACGAGCACACGGCGGGTGTGACCGGTCAGCAGGGGATGCTCACTCCGCAATGGCACCTGATCCCACCACTGATGTTTCAGAGGTCCGTGTTTGCTCTGCTCCTATTTTGTATTGTTTCATTGACTTTGATATTGAATGCTGTTCGTTAACTCCATATCCTTCTTGTATACTCTTCATTTTATCCATGTATTTCAAACTGACGATGTCTTAAAAATATTTCCTGTTCAGATGCAGTGTGGTAAGTCTGATATACATTTTTAAAGATACATGTCCATTTACATTTGTAAACTTTGCAAAAAAATTCCCATTATGGAAAACAAAATAATGGGTCAATAAAAATTGAGAAACAAATCTCTTTGACATTGTTGGGCTTGGTATTTCTCTCAAAATGAAGTAAAAAATCTAATGTTAGAACTTCTTTAAAATATATGGGGCATATTAAACTAGCAATATATAAATCATGAAGAAAGAAATAATTAAATGTCATTTTAATGTCATGGTTCTTCTTCAGGAAATAAATAAGGATAACGAACAGTATTCAAGAACAAAAGATGAAACAGTATAAAATAGGTGCAGAGGAAACACGGATCTTGAAAACATCAGAGGTGGGATCAGGAACCATGGAGGAGTGAGCATCCCCTGCTGACTGGTCACACCCGCCGTGTGTTCCCTGTCATAATCGGAAAATAACGGGAAAATCCGTCGTCAATTCAGTGTATAAATAATGGACTAACAATTATTATGAAAAACGTCAGCATTTGACTTAAATTTTGACAAATTGTACTTGCTGACAAGTTTATTGTATCAATTTTAGAACTTACAAATTGATGGCTTTAAACGAGACTGCTGATATTCTTTTTTCGTCAACTTGTTTGTCAATAATTTACCTTTAATTTAGAAATCGTTCACATATATAGAGCATGCTCTTGCGTTTGGAATCAACTGAAATATATAATCTCCCTTTGCTGGTGATGAAGTTAAAGTCATCATTAAAGTGGAGCAGGGGATGCTCACTCCCTCATGGCACCTGATCCCACCTCTGTTGTTTCGGAGGTCCGTGTTTGCCCTGCTCTTATTTTATATTGTTTTATGGACTTTGAGATTGAATACTGTTCGTTATCTCCATATCCTCCTTTATCATAGAGCTTGGTTGTAAAATAAACATTAACGTCTATTTCAAGTAAAATGTCCAAATATAGAGCAGATGTGTCTGACAGACGCTCAGATAAAAAAAATTTAAAAATTCTACTGGAATCACAGAATCCCCCACCCCCCCCCCCCCCCAAAAAAAAAAAAATCACAAAAACTATATATTTTTGTTTAATAGACAATAAAATGACAGAAGACAACAGAAAATAAATGATAACATCAATATTATTATGATACGTCATTAAATAATTTTAAAGAGATTGGTATTACCATTTTTTGACAATTCTCATTTGATATTTATGGCAATATGATAACAATTACATTGTACATATGTGATAATTATTCATGAAGGTGTTCTTTATATTTGAATGGTCAATTTATTTCAACTCTAAATGTCAAATATACATTGTATTTTTGAAAAGTTTTACAATATGTCTCAAGAGCTAATATTCCGTAACGTATTACAAAAAAAAAAATAGTGGAGTCTTAGTAAACTGTGCTATTTAATTATGTAGGTTTAACCAGACCGATATACCAGGTTGTCATCTTATCCTTGATATTCTGGAGATCTATACTAAAACAAGCATGATTGAAGTTATAGTTATGTCTAGCTCTCTCTTATCTGGAATCTTAGTAAACAGTGCTATTTTATTCTTTAGCATTAACCAGACAGTCATACCAGGTTGTAATCTTATCCTATGATTTTCTACAGATCTATACTCAAACAAACATGACTGAAGTTATAGTTATGTCTAGCTCTCTCTTATTTCCCATTATTTCCCTAGAAAAATTAGTATATCAGGGAAATTCACTGATATTTCAAGGGTATGAATAGTTTTTCACTGTCTTCATCAAGTTTCCAGTCGTTTTTAGCGTTTTTTTTTTTTTAGAATTGTTTTAAAATCAATATCTCCATTCGTTTTTTTTCTGTATTCTAAAACTCAATCATGGTTTTAACAAGCGAGCATAAAGACACGTATGCTATAACCAGAAAGTTCCCTCCTTTCAAAGGTGAAGAATTGGTTTCATAAGTTGTTTTCACGAACTCCGTCGTGGTGTCTATTGTGTTGTCGCTCTCTGTCCCGGAGATTGTTGTGGGTATAGTGGTCATATCGGGACAGGTCAAGTTTGCAGCGGATAGACTGACCAATGAAGTTCCATTCAAGTTCCCAGGAGTGAAGCAGCGTGGATCTCCAGATACGGTGACACGTCCAGATTTAAGGAAATCGACCAGGCCTATCAGCTCGCAATTACAGTGATAAGGATTATCATATATTTTCCTGGATAAAATAATATAAACATGCATTAGAACTAATGAATACTATTCAACCTTTAAAAGAAAAAAAATGGTGAACAATACTTTATATATATATATATATATATATATATATATATATATATATATATATATATATATATATATATATATATATATATATATATATATATTCAACAAATTAAAAAAACCCATAATTTTAACTCATCAAAAAAAACCCCATAATTTTAACTCATCAAAGAAATTTTGAAAAAAGTATATATGGAAGAACTATCTTATTTATCATTAAATACCCGTGACCTATTTAAAGTACACCATATGCTTTTAAACCCCAAATGTTGAATTATTTCCCTTGTTTAATAATGTTAATGAAAATAGTTCTTTGCAAGATTTCTTCTAAATCGTGGGTCTATTTTCAGTGAAATTTTTGATTTAAAGAAACAATAAACACTACTAGTAAACCCATGCTTTGATTGAAATGTTGATGCTGCAACGCCACGTCTAACCAAGAAGAATGCTATAACAAGGATTCTAACCGGGACTACGCAAAGTATACTTGTACATGTATCTAGATAGTGTTATTTGATGTTTGCTTCACATAGTTAAAATGTAATATATACGAGAGTCTTGCCGAGCAAATCTACACTATTTCAACACGTTTGACAAAGCAAATATGAAATGACACAATTAATCACACAATTTTTACTACTTATAGTTTCATGGTGAGTTTTAATGTATTCTGTTTAATGTAAGAAAGCACTGTTGAAAGAAGGATATGCAAATAACGAACAGTATTCCATATTAAAGTCCATAAAACAATACAAAATAGGAGCAGAGCAAACACGGACCTCCGAAAAATCAAAGGTGGGATCAGGTGCCATGGAGGAGTGAACATCCCCTGACTACCGGTAACACCCGCCGTGTGCTCATTGTCATGATCAGGTAATAACGGAAAAATCCTTTGTCAATTCGGTTTTTAAATAATGGACTTACAATAAGTATGAAAAACGTCAGACAGCATTTGACTCAATGATAAATTGTATTTGCTGACAAGGTCATTGTATAGACAATAAAACTTCGGAAATGATGACTTTAAAGGAGTCTGCTGATATTCATGATTCATCAACTTGCTTGTCAATAATTTACCTCGTTTTAGAAATTGTTCATACATAGAGCATGCTCTTGCGTATCGAATCAACTGACATATATACCGTATAAGCAGAATTTTTAGCGAGGATTTAATTTTGGCATTATTTGCGAGGGTTTTGAGATCGCTAAAATTAAATATCGCTAAAAATAAACTGTTTTTACTTTGTAATAGGTTTTTATGAGCATTTTAAAATCGCTAAAATTACTTCCCGCTAAAAATAAATTACGATATTTTAAGGACAAAACGCCAAATTTACGTCTCGCTAAAATTTCAACTTATACGGTATACCCGGTACTCCGTATGCAGGTGATGAAGGTATATTGCTGCATAAGTAAGGAAAGTTGATAGAAAAGTTAAAGTCATATAGAATATCACACTGCTGTTTTGATCTCGGCCCTGGTATCAGCCCGAGCGGTTGGTATCGGCCCAAGCCCGGAGGGCGCGGGCCGAGACCATCCGAGGGCTGATACCAGGGACGAGATCAAAACAGTGGTGTGAGGTTGTTTATATCATATATCTAAAACCAAAGAAAAGAACAAATATTTAAATATTTTTCAATCAAAAAGTTTATATAATTTTGTCGTAACAAAAATTAGAGTTATCTTTCTTTATTTCGATGTTCCTGGGGATGTTGCTTGACGGGAAATAATCATATAGAGACAGTTTATATCCTGGTGAGCTTGAGATAAAAGATACCGCAGAGTCCGACACTTCTGCTTCATATTTGAATATTTTATTTGAAAAAGACAGTAATGGCAATCTAACAACCAAGCTATATGATAAACGTGATGACTTTAACTTTTCTATCGTCATCTTCCCTTACTTATTTAGCAATATACCTTCATCACCTGCATACGGAGTATATATATCTCAGTTGATTCGATACACAAGAGCATGCTCTACGTATGAACAATTTCTGTAACCGGGGTTACAACTTCTTCAACGAATCGTTACAATTTGAAAATCTGAGATTTAAAGTGACCGTTTGTTTTGTTTACAATATATATTTAATTTAAAAAAAATGGTACATTACATGAAAACTTTGTATTTTGTTACTGTCAAAGCAAATAAACGTCAATTTTTTTCAAAACATGATGTGTTGCTGTCCTAGAAGTAAACAAGAGTTACATCTCTTACGTCACAAGTGCTATCATTTGGCGCACTTTTTAAAAACAATTTTCTCAAAATTCTAATATAAATAAATACTTTTTAAAGATTCTGGTTAAACTTTTCGATATATAATGTTTCTCTTTAATACTTAAATATGAATTTCACTCGTAATTCACACAAATTAAACAGAAATAATGATTTGAAATTTGAGGGCGAGACAGCCCCTTGACGACGGGCCGAGACAGAGATATCTCAGCCCTGAGGGCGAGACAGCCCTACTTCCGAGACGCTGTCTCGCCTAGTCCAAAACGCCTGTATCAGGGCTGATACACTAATAGGTATATGATATATCACGTTTATCATATAGTTTGCTTGTTAAATTACCATTAATGTCTTTTTCAAGTAAAATAGCCGAGTATGAAACAGACGTGTCAGATTCTGTGCCTATAAGACTTCTCTACGTGCCACAAAAACTGTAAAAAGTTTCTTATAAAAACGATTTACAGGGGAAGGTGGAAGTTGATTCCGTCTTCGCACTTTATTGACGTAAACAATTTTGTTTTCTTGTACAATACAAAACAATACAATAATTTCTATAGCGCATTATAATAATGACACTCTAGTGCGCTTCACATTAAAATAGATATAAGCTTACAAAATGGCGAACAAATTACTTTAAAAAATACATAATACATATTTGTGCATAAAAATAGGATATCTAAAAGACTTTATGTGTACTAAAAGACCATAAAATATTACGCTGCGTGGGAGTCACTTTAATAAATTTACTACTAATGAAACATTAAAAAAAATAAATAAATATTAAAGGAACATGTACTCGATCAGTAGAGCACGAAATAAAAAACATTAAAGACTTTAAGATCAGTTCAGTGTCCTTTTACATTAGGTATATATATCACTATAAAAACAATATTTACATTCCCTCGTAAGCTCGTTCAAAGAGGTGAGTTTTAAGTCCTTTTTTAAAAGCGGAAACAGATTTGGAATTTTTAAGACACAGAGGAAGAGAGTTCCATAGTGAGGCGGCGGCGTAGTCAAATCGACGACTGCCGTACGTAACAGTTCTAACTTTAGGAACATCCAAAAGAAAAGAACACTGTGAACACAAGGACCTGGTAGGAGAGTATATTTTGAGAAGCTCGGACAAGTAATTTGGAGCACGATTGTTCAATGCATTGTATACAAACAGAAGTATTTTATATTGACTTCTGTATTGGACAGGGAGCCAGTGGAGATCTTTCAAGATTGGGGTCACGTGATCAGATTTCCTGGTACGAGTTATCAGCCGCGCAGCAGTATTTTGGACTTTTTGGAGTTTATTCACAAGTTGCTTATTTATGCCATACATCAACGAGTTTGCATAATCGAGTCGGGAAGTCACAAGTGAATTTATCAAAGTTTTACATGCGTCGTCTGTGATGTACGGACGGATGCGACCGATTTTCCGGATATTATTAAAGCATGTTCTAACTATTGAACTGCAGTTTTTCTCCATACTTAGAGTCTGGTCGAAAAAGGCTCCAAGGTTCTTCACAAAAGGAGAGTCACTAATTGAGCTCTCTCCAAAAACAAGATTGAATGTAGAAACGTCTTTTATTTTATGTTTTGGACAAAAGAACATCAATTCAGTCTTTTCTTGATTTAGCTTTAAAAGATTGGTGCACATCCATAATTTTATGTCGACAAGACAAGCACTGAGAGAAGAAGCCACATTATTCAAGTCTTCGTTTGGCTCAATAACGAGATATATTTGGGTATCATCTGCCTAGCAGTGATACCGCATTTTATGACGCTTGCATATATTTCCTATAGGTTTCGAAAACAAACAGTACAACCGGGGTCCAAGAACCGAGCCCTGAGGCACACCGATTTCAAGCGATTCCGCATTTGATAAAGTTGCACCTATCGAAACTCTCTGACTCCTGTCAGTTAAATAGGACTTTATCCATGACAGCACAGAACCGGATATCCCGTATAAGTATTCAAGACGAAGGAAAAGAATCTGCTGGTCTATAACATCGAACGCGGCCGACAGATCGAGCATGACAAGTACAGCATAAGAATTATTGTCTAAGGCGGTAGCGATGTCATTGTGAACACGCAACAGTGCAGTTTCGGTTGAGTGATACGAACGATATGCAGATTGTAGAGTATCGTGCATATGGTTTGAGTCTAGGTGATGTTCTAGGCGAATTCCAACGACTTTCTCAATAACCTTTGAGAGGAATGATAAATTCGAAACAGGTCTATAGTCTTGTTTATAATATTTTTTGTTAATTTTAATATTTTTTGTTTATCATCAGTATTTTTAGACAAGAAATTTCACAAATCATATTGGTGATAAATTAAAATCTTAAAGCGAGGGATTGTTTAAAAACCGAGAGTGCTTTTGATTAACCACCTACCATGGATAAACCATAAGTTTATCTCATTATCATTATCTCATTATCACGTGATGATAAATTGATATACTGGATGCATCATAGTGTTCTGCTACAAGGCAGTGATTGCGTTCCATTAGAATGAATGACAGGGATATCGAAATTTAATATGTCAAAAATATTTAAAGTAAGGAACATACAGTATCTATTATTTTGTCAATCAATACTCGGGATTTTATAATTTGGAATATTGATATCTGTTTCATACTCTTTTTTTTACTTGAAAAAAGACGTAAATGGTAATCGAACTAGCTATATGATGAATATCAGCAGTCTTGTTTAAAGTCATCATTTCGTAAAGTCTATGGTCGATACAATGACCTTGTCAGCAAATACAGTTTACAATTGAGTAAAATGCTAACTGAAGTTTTTCATACACATTGTTAGTCCATTATTTATACACCGAATTGACGACAGATTTCGGGATGCTCACTCCTCCAAGGCACTTGATCCAACCTCTGATGTTTCAGATGTCCGTGTTTACTCTGCTCTTATTTTGTATTGTTTTACGGACTTTAATATCAAATACTGTTCCTTATCTCCATATCCTTCATTCCAAAAAATTATTTAAGGAACAAACTTACAGTGTATTCAAATTTGCCAAATCTTTGAATGTGTTGTCCTCTATCGTAGTTATCCTGTTGCCGTTCAAAAACCTGAAAGATATTGTGTAGAGTGAATGTTCTGTGATGAATTTGTCATCCTAAGAATTCATGAGAATTTTTCTTCTTTTTTTCTAAAATTGAAAATAATAATCAAAACTTGTTCTTGAACAGAAATTTTTAAAAACAAATGAGATGAGTAAATGTCAAGAGCAATTTTCTGCAAAGCCACAGCGCTCTCCTTTCAACCCACACCCGCCCAGGGGCTCATGATTTGAGCAAACTAGAATCTACACTACCTGAGGATGATTCCACATGAGTTTCATCTTTCCTGGCCCAGTGTTTTTTGAGAAGATTTTCAAAGATTTTTCCTATATATATTCTTATGTAAAACTTGCGTCGGCCATTTTGACCCCATTCTAGCCCCGGGGGTCATGATTTAAACAAACTTGAATCTACACTACCTGAGGATACTTTCACATGAGTTTCATATCTCCTGGTCCAGTGGTTCTTGAGAAGAAGATTTTTGAAGATTTTTCCTATATATTCCTTTATAAAACTTTGATCGGCCATTTTGGCCCCACCCCACCCTACCCCGGGGGTCATGATTTGGACAAACTTGAAACTACACTTCCTGAAGATGATTCCACATTAGATTCATCTTTCCTGGCCTAGTGGTTCTTGAGAAGAAGATTTTTTTAAAAATACCATTAATTTTTCTCCAATTCATAATTATCTCCCCTTGGAAAAGGGCATGGCCCTTCATTTGCACAATTTTAAATCCCCTTCACCCAAGGATACTTTGTGGCAAGTTTGGTTGAAATTGACCCAGTGGTTCTTGAGAAGAAGATGAAAATGTGAAAAGTTTATAACGCCAACAACAACAAAAACGACGACGACGACGACAGACGACGGACAAATTTTGATCAGAAAAGCTCACTTGAGCCTTCGGCTCAGGTGAGCTAAAATATGTAGGAGTTAATTTTTCACGTGGATATTTCTTTCTATCTTCAAAATGACAATACAATGAATTAACACATTATACACTGGGTTAGTATTTCTCACCCTAAAAATGAAAGAAAAAAACTTTTTAATAGAAAATTATAATCATAAAAAAGAATCGATCACGTGATAAACTCTTACAAGTCTCACAATAGCAACACAGGTTTGTTAACATTTACAAGCTCAACTAAATTGGGTACATCTCACTTATTATTTTTAAAACTGGTCGGAGAAGAAATTTTGCTGCAAAAATTAAAAGTTCCTTCATTTGCAGACTTGCAAAAAAAATGTGCAGATGTACTAAACTGAGCCTCGCACTTGTTGATAAGGGATATCTTTCCTACCAAAAAAGCTTGACAATTGTAATTTATAAAGAAGATCAGGCGAATTAATTTGTGTATCATAACGCCAATTGGAGGTCTCAAATTCCCCTGATCTCACCTTGATTTTTAGAGGTACCCGCAGAAATATGCATAATTGCCGGAAAACGAATCTGACATGCCATCTCGAGATTTTATCCATGGTAAGACAATTTGCTTTAATTTGATGGGTCACTCACTGTGCAGCATTGTTAAGGCTGAAATAAGGGGGCAGGGCCTAATTTATACGGGAAAAATCTACCGTGACGTCACACAAAATATGACAAAAATAATTTGTAGATTTATACTGCATTAGCATAATAAACAATTATCAATGCATTAAAAAAGTTGCAATTTAATCCCATACAACTGGTTTTCAACAAATCACTGATCTCAATGGACTTGTCAATCATGACGTCATTTTTGTAAAAATGACATTCCATGTGCTGTGAGAGACGAATTGAGGATCTTTTAACAATGAAAAATTCGTTTGATTTTAAAACAGAATGTTATTTTCAGGTTTTAAATTGGATATTTACCGGTATACCAAATATATCCTTTGTTTAGTGCGATTAATCATTAATTATGGAGAGTATGTATTTAAGTAATATATTTGTAGTTATTTTATGCAGGTTAAGTATAATATTTTATTTTACTTATATTTTACTTAGAGGTGTCTCATTTAATCGTTCTTTTGCAAGGGCATACACAAAATAAATCTTAACCATCTTTCGAAAATAAATAAAGGATAGTTCCATAACTTGAAAAGTGCTGCTGCTTTCTTTAAATCTAGAGCGTGACTTTATAAGTACACAAAATATTTGGTAAAAGTCAAAGATATTCCGACATGGGTCTAATCACTTGACATTTTAACTATTAAAACGCGAATTCTATTCAAAGCAGCAGCACTTTCCAGAAAGCACAAAGTATACAGAAACAATTTATCGTTGGAAATTTTAATTTCAAATAGGATATGCCCTTGCCATATTGAAATTTGTTAATGACCTACATTGAGTTCACGTGCAATGCATTCATCACGTGACTGCTCATCGATGGGGCCAAACTTCATACAGTGCAGAGTAGATTATACTATGCTATTTCCATAAGTATTTAAGCTATGTCATAATAATTTAATTCTGGTTGTAACAATGTATTTGGTTGGATAAAAAAAATATTTTTTTTCGTATAAAATGGGTTGCCTACGTCACAATGACTTACGTCAAAAACGTATCAATCCGCCTGACGTTACATTCAAATTTGGTACAAATTGAAGTCATTTAGTGAGAACAATCATCAAATGAATGAAAATTCAATTATAAACTTCGCGGTTTAAAAAGCGTAAACTGCCCCAACCCAGTTTATACCGTATTAAATGCGTAGCTATTAAATTCATTCCTTAAATAAAACAGCTGAATAAAAATAAATTAAGTTTAAAAAAATTTCCGTTTTTGCACAGCTTTTTTCCGTTGATTTCATAGTAAGCCTTAACAGAGCTGCGTGCTGAACAAAATTAAGGACTTCACTAGGAGAAGAAAGGTTAACATTGCCACCTATGGAAAAACAATTAGTGGATTGTACCTATATTGAAAACAATTAGTGGACTGTACACATATTATCTGTCAATCTGAACTACGTATCATACATTAATCTTATTACTCCTTTAATACTTAGACTGTTCAATGTATATTCTCGTCAGATTTTCAAATAAATCATGTGAGTTACATGTATCATTCTGATCATTATTCAGGCTCAGAGGAACAGTTAATTGATTCTACAACATAAATTAGGTGAGCAACTTTAGAAAAAGAAATTACAACTGCTGCATCTTCGTCAAACCAGTAAAGGTGTTTTTCTTTACTGCTGTTAATTTGTTCTGGCCCAGACTTCTAAAGAATGAAGATTAAATGTCAAGAGGAAGTATTTTTATCATGCAAAATATATGTTCCTTCATTCTTAAAGAAAAAATACCGTTAATAGTTAATTGTCATGTGGATGATTCCTACGTGCTTCAAAATGCAAATACATTGAATTCACGTGGTATACACTGGGTTGAGGCAGTTAACATTTTACAAACTGCGAAGAGTCATTGACTATTGATATCCCAAAAAATACTTTAAATAGCGAACATACAGTGTCTCTTTTTTTCAATCAAGTGCATGAATCAATGCTCGGGATATTATAGTTTGGAGGGCTGATATTCCTAAAATACTCTAAAACAAAAATAACTTACAATTTTGTCATTAAGAATTATCTCTCTTATCAGAGTATCAATGAACCTTAAAGAAAAAAACTTACAGTCGCTCCAATTTTGTTAAATTTCTGAACGCACCGTCTTCTATTTTGGCTATACTGTTGGCTCGAAAAGACCTGAAAGATATCGAGGAGTAAATGTTCAGTGCATGTATTTGGTAACAAATCTTTTACTCTCTCTTATATTTTTTCAATCAATTGAATGAATCAATGCTCGGGATGTTATAGTTTGGAGAATTAATATTCAAAGATTAGGATTGATATTTAAAAAATATTTTTAAAGAACAAACTTACATCACTACCAAATTTGTCAAATCTCTGAACGTATTGGCCTCTATTAAAGTTATACTGTTGCCGTATAAAAAACCTGAAAGATATTGTGTAGAGCGAATGTTCAGTGCATGAATTTGGCATCTTAAATATTCATAAGAATTTTTCCTCTTTTTTTTTTAAAAAAGAAAATTATAATCAATATCTCCCTCTTGAACAGAGATCTTTAAAAACAAATGAGATGAGTAAATGTCAAGAGCAATTATCTTTCCTGTAAAATAAGTAATTCTACATTCTTAAAAAAATATGTAAGAGTTAATTTCCACGTGGATAATTCTTACTAATTACAGGAAGTATTTTTTTATGTAAAATAAATGCTTCTTCATTCTTTAAGACAAAAAAACCAGATAAGAGTTAATAATCCCAGGAATGATTCGTACGTGCTTCAAATTGCCAATGTATTGAATTCACATGGTATACACTGGATTTGGACAGTTAACGCTTTATAAACTGCGAAGGTTCATTGAAAATGAGTGCACAAAATATTAGAATTTTTGGATTTGATATCCCCAAAATAGTTTAAAGAACGAACTTAAAGTATTTTAACTTTGTCAAATCCTTGAATGAAACAAAACACGGGATATTATATTTTTGGATGATTGATATTCCTTCAATATTTCTAAAGAACAAACTTACAGTTCCTTTAACTTTGTCAAACCGCTGAAAGCATTGGCATCTATTGTGGATATGTTGTTATCCGCTAGATTTCTGAAAGATATTGTGAAGAGTGGAGGTCAGTTGAAAATATGTGTTAATAATTCTTAAAATTCTTACAATGCCAAAACAGTTACAGGGATTGCCCTTAAACGTCGTAGTCATTGAAAACAGTGTAGTTTCTCTTTGCTGAATTAAAGGACTTTATTTAGTAGTAACCAAAGTTTGCTCACTAAATTAAACTTTGACAGAGTAATATTTAATTATGTTTTAAAACAGGGGATACACGCAGGGGTACGGTGGCTGGTATAGGACATGGTATGAGAATATTTTTTTTTTTTTTATAAATTCGTGACCACGAAATAAAAATTCGTGGGAACGAAATAAAAATTCTTGGCCACGAAATAAAATTCTTAGCCACGGAATAAAAATTCGTGGGAACGAAAAAAAATTCGTGGCCACGAAATAAAAATTCGTGGGAACGAAAAAAAAATCGTGGCCACGAAATAAAAATCGTGGGAACGAAAAAAAATTCGTGGCCACGAAATAAGATTCGTGGGAACGAAATAAAATTCGTGGGAACGAAATAAAAATCCGTGGCCACGAAATAAAAATTCGTAGGAACGAAATAAAAATTTGTGGCCACGAAATAAAGTTGTGCTGTATAATGTCAATTAAGCTTCTTTCTTGTATGTCATTCAAGACGAACGAACTTATATATTATTATCATTCACTTGAAATGAGCCAAATAGATTTTTGTTTAAAATCTTTATGGATATTGAATAATATGCCTGAATCATCATTAATTATTGAAATCTGATTTTTGTCGGTTAATTGCATGAAGGGCTGATGAGCGTATAATATTGTGGTGACCGTTAATTAAACCTTTAAATAGTATTAATACTGATCTAACTAGTTCGCATTTTCTCCTAAACAATTACATGTACCTTTATTGAAGAGCACACATTTTCATTTCTATCAAACAGTTGAGTTTATGTGAAAACAATCATGACAATATCTGAATATTGCTTTCATTTTTAAGATGTCACGTTCCCGATAATAGGGGCCTACTCTGCCACTGATTGTTAAATAAATAAACATTGAGTGATTGACTAAAAAAAGCCTTACAACTACAAGCTATTTATGCACCGGACATAAACTTAGCTACATGTAAATATAACATATCTTCTCCGCTTTTTGTCTGCAGATCTGCGCGTGCGTCTATGCACACATTGGCGTCTAAATTACAAACCCGATATGTCAATACACTAGATCCTTTATCTTTTATTTCGTGGCCACGAATTTTATTTCGTTCCCACGAATTTTTTTTCGTGGCCACGAATTTTATTTCGTTCCTACGAATTTTATTTCGTGGCCACGAATTTTATTTTGTGACCACGAATTAATAAAAAAAAATCTCATACCATGTCCTATACCAGCCACCGTACAGGGGTGATAAATAGAGGATATCTATATTGTGTGATTTGATATTGGCTTTATCCAACGAGTTGAAATGGTGTATATATTCGCGAGGCTTGCCGAGCGAATATACACCATTTCAACGAGTTGGATAAAGCCAATATCAAATCACACAATTATAGATGTTCTATTTATCTCATACGACTTTCGTTTTAACAAAACTTTGAGACTTCCCCTGCGAAACTACATGAATGACTGCCAAAATCAAATTGATGACGTATAACTTGATGACGTAGCACCGTTGATGTTTACATGCGTCGAGAGAAAGTAGATCGAGTTCAAAATTAAGAATATTTGCTATCTGTGTCTTTGAAAACATCATGTGAAAATTGCTGGAGCTTTACATCAAACGAACTTCTGACTGAAAGTTGTTAGTACTATGGGGATCGTGAAAATCAACTCTTTTTACGATGGCAGTACAAATCGTGCTAGGCAAGGCTAGGGGCCTAGACTTTGTCTAGATTGTTTGCTGATCCATGGTAAGTTACACCTACATTACTAGGTAGGCATACGTAGTATAATATAAGAAAGCATTGTTAAAGATGTCAAAAGAGTCTTATAACAACAACTTAACTGGTACATGAAGGCTTTATTTCTTCGAAAACGATCTAAGGGGGGGGGGGGGGGGGTAACATCTGTCTTCAAATAGCCAACGGGTTTCTTGATAAAATAAGACACTTCTTTGACATCTTGCTTTTAACGATATTGCTACCCTTTATCATTCATTTTATAAGGGCAACAATTTTCACAAATAAGTTTCAATAAAATAAAATCTTGAAGCGAGGGTTCGTGTCAAAACCGGAAGTGCTATTGATAAAGCATCTACCCGTTGATAAAGCATAAGTTTATCCAACGGCCTGTATCACCAACACGTATGAGATAAAGAAGCATACAAAATATTCTACCTAGACTAAATCAGTGCTACATTATGACGTCATAGTAGGCAATATGACGTCAATTTTAGAACACAAGTTTTCGCAATACTGGTATTTAGGGATGTAATTTAACTCTAGAAAATGAATAGAAACATGTAAACTTTAATAAAAATAAAATGTTTTTATTTTTTATGCTGTATCTGTCAATTTGATTAAAACCTACCACCGATGACGTCATATGTGTACAACAAGTAACTTTGGAATTGATCATGTCGTGTAAAGAGAATTTGGCTAAGACGGCGTGTACAACGATACGTAAAATGAAGATTTGAAGGAAATATCGTGAATATTATATGAAATTCATATTCAGTTAGAAATGCATATGAAATATTACATTTCAAATTCCAGAAAAATATCTCTCTATGACTCGCCTATAAGTCGGATATAGATTTTTAGACCAAAATTAAACTCCCAAAACACCGACTTATAAGCGAGTATATACGGGGTATGAAGAATTATCATTTACAATCTTAACTTATTTATCTGCCAATCTGAACTACGTATTTCACATTAACCTAATTATTCCATTGAATCCTTGGATAGATGATTGTATATACTCGTCATATTTTTCAAATAAATCAAGTTAGTTACTTGTATCATACTTTATTCAGGTTCAGACAAACAAAAACGTAAAAAAAGATCAAAAATACGCCCTTATCGTTCTTGACTATGTTGAATCAAAACACAGGACATTATAAAAATATATATGGACAGGAAATCTTAGAAAAACTTACAAGATCGCTAAGTTTGTCAAACCCTTAAACGTGCTGTTCTTTAGTGTAGTAAACCGGTTCTCTTTGAGATGTCTAAAAAAAAATTAAAGATTGATGTCA